AATTCTTCCTTCAGCCTGTTGATGGCATTGTCCGTATCAGATACAAAATTTGGGAAGAGATAGAAAGAGCAAGTGCTATGTAAAAACTGAAATTACCTGAAGTTCCAGGTGAATTCTGAGTTCCTAACTAGTTATTCTTACAGCTTTGCTAATAGGATTACATCCATAAGATATAAAGTGTTTTTTATGACATGAACTAATTACTAGAAGGCCAATCTGATGAGACTTTGTTGTGTTTTAAAAAATTATAACAAATCTTGTCACTGGCAGGCTTTAGCAAAATTACCTAGAGAATCTCCACAAGTGACCTGTAACCTGGAGATGGTCAAAGAAGTACCTCCACAAATCTTCCTTGATCCATACACAGCTGCTAGAGAGATGCACAAGAGGTGCTTGCTAGACTCCTGAAGATCATGGATGCTACCAAAGGACTTAACACCCTTAAAACTACAGCTGTATAGGGTTTCTTTGTTCACCTAATGTAATTTTATTGCTCCCTCCTTCAATGTCTCTGCCTGGATCAAATTTTTTTCTAGGGAACTGGAGAACTGGTGGGCTCTTTGAGCTGTAGATGAGAAGGGGGGAATTATAATTGTTAAACCAAAGTGATCTCATTTTATGACTAGCCCTTCATTTTGCATTTATGAGTTTTGACTCTCAATACTGATGTCATTGAGTTTTGTGTCCTTCAAATACTTTCTAGGAACCCCCTCCCTCACTTATGAGACATCAGCACATGCTGTGATCTACTCAAAGCTTGGCTGATATATTCATGTTCCCCTCTTATGCCATGTAAAAATTGTAAAAAAGCCAAAGAGCTATGAACCTCTGGGTCCTTGAGCTGACAGAAAAACAAAAGCCACCTGATTTGTTTCTGCAGCCACATACATTGCTAAATAAATTGTTATCTGAATGTTACTCCATATCTTTGTTTCACATCTTGAAGCCCAGAGGTTTAAGCCACAATAATTTTAGGAAGGCAAGGGACTCACTCTCCTAGATAGTGGAAATCCTTAGTTGCTTTTCTTCCAGAAAAGAAGAGTTTCTCAATTCTCAGACCCTTGTCTATAATAAGTATTACCCCCCTAAAAACTCCCTCATCCAGAGAGTCAATGTTTTTTGAACACAGAAGAGTCCCCCAGATAAGTACACATTATAAAATTTAATTTAATTTTTTTTTTAAAGAATGTCTCCCTATATTGTCCAGACTGGAAGTACAAGAGATACAGAGGGGATTAATCCCGTTCTTATTAGTATGGGAGCTTTGATCTGCTCTATTTCTAACCTAGAATAAGTCACCTCTCCTTAGGCAACCTGATGGCATTCTAATTCTGGAGGCTGACCCAATTAATGCCAAACTTAGTGTTAGCACCTAATTAGCATGACTCAGTGTAGCCCAGAACTCTCAAGCTCTTGAGAGCTACCAGATTCAGCCTCCTTAGTAGCAGGAATGACAAGAATTCACGACTGATGATTTGTCTATTTTCAAACTCTCCACTTCACATTCTCATCAGGGGCTACGTCTCTGTCTAGACTTTATCTGACTTAGGTTAGGAAGTTCTTGAAATGCCAGATTAAAGTTTGATTGTCCAGTTGTACTCAGTCATCATCTTGCTGTCTTTTTAAAAAACCACCAAGGACTGTCTAGATCTGATTCCCCTCATTTTTTCTCTTTTTTTATTAGTTTATTTTGATTTATCAACAATCACTTCCATAAGCTTTTGAGTTTGAATTTTTTCTCCCCCTCCCTCTCACCCTTCCACCCCAAGAAGGTGCACAATCTGATATAGGCTATACATATACCTTCCCAGTAAACATATTTTCACATTAGTGATGCTGTAAGGAAGAATTAGAACCAATAGGAAGAACCACAAGAAAGAGAAAACAGAACAGAAGAAAAAATTAGCAAATAGTATGTTTTGATCTGCATTCAAACTCCATAGTTCTTTCTTTGGATGTGGATAGCATTTTCCATCTCGAGACTTTGGGAGATGTCTTAGAGTTTTGCATTGCTGAGAAGGGCTAAGTCTATCAACATTAGTCATTGTACAACATGGCTGTTACTGTGTGCAACATTCTCCTGGTTCTGCTCACAAATCTTTCCAGGTTTTTCTGAAATCTGCCTGCTCATCATTTCTTATACCACAATAGTATTTCATTACATTCATATGCCACAACTTGTTCAGCCATTCCTCAACTGATGGGCATTCCCTGAATTTCCAACTCTTTGCCCCCCCCCAAAAAAAGAGCTGCTATAAATATTTTTGTACATGTGGGGCCTTTTCCTTTGTATGATCTGTTTGGGATACAGTCTTAGAAGTGCTACTGCTCGGTCGAAGGGTATGCACATTTTTATAGCCCTTTGGGCATAGTTCCAAGCTGCTCTCCAAAATGGTTGGATCAGTTCACAACTCCACCAACAATGCATTAGTGTTCCAATTTTCCCTACATCTTTTCCAACATTTATCATTTCCCTGTTTTGTCATCTTGGCCAATCTGATAGGTGTGATGTGGTACCTCAGAGTTGTTTTGATTTGCATTTCTCTAATCAATAGTGATTTAGAATATTTTTTCATGTGACTATAGATGGCTTTAATTTATTCATCTGAGAACTGCCTGTTCATATCCTCCCTCAATTTTTTTCAACTCTAATATTCTTTTTAGTCTCCCATGAAAATGAATGGGAAATGGAAAAGGACAAAAATAAAATCATTTGAGTGGAGACACTGCTTCAGGGAATACCCTCCATCTCAATTGCCTTAATTCTTTGTTTCAAATTTCTGTAGGGTCTTTGGGAAGAAAAGACATAAGCAAACCCATGAAGAAGCCATAGCATTCACAAAATAAATGTATACACAGAGGAAAAGGAGTATAATACACATCACTGTTATGCATTGAGGTAGTTGAAGGGATTTTCCCTACCCCTTATATATATCCTGTCTTTAAAAATAGACAATTATCTAAATGAGAACAGAAACTGTTTTGTCATTTCTTATATATGGCTTCTCCACCCCCACACACATATACACATAGTGTGTAGCAAATAGTAGACACCCAATGAACATGTATTGGTTGAAAGGTTAATTTTGAGAAGCAGTGTTTTAATCAGGAAATACTTCCCTAAAGGATGCAGGCCTTGAGGAGATCTATGTAAGAAATAGGGAGATGCTGCCTGGCTGGTATTAGTGGAAAGGGTATTCCATAAGAGGAAAACAGACTTTGCTCTCTGGATGACTCAGATACGGAAGACCAGGAAACTTTTCACACACCATAGTACTTAGAGCTGGGAAGGGACCTTCATCTAGTGCCAAGACAATTTTGTGCAACCAACTCATGTTACAGAGGATGAAACTGAGACTGAGAGAGATTTGTCAAAGGTCACAAAGACATTAAATATGAGGTAGAATTTGAGCTCCTGTCCATTGACTCCAAATCCAGTTGGCTTTCTGATACCCCATATAGACTGCCATACTACTTTTGCCAATTTATGCATACAATTTCTATGGCTAGAATGGGGAAGGAAAAGGAATAAGCATTTAAATAGTGCCTACTGTATGCCAGGCACTTTGCTAAGTGCTTTACAAAAATTATTTCATTTAATCTTCACAATAACCCTTTGAGGTAAATGCTATTATTATCCCCACTTTGTAGTTAAGAAAACTGAGGCAAACAGAGGTGAAATGACTTGCCCAGTGTCACATAGCCAGTAAGTGCTTGAGGCTTCATTTGAACTCAAGACTTCCTGACTCCAGGCCCAACTCTCTGTCCACTGCACCATCCAGTTGTCTACGTAGAAGGAGACATTTAGTCACAGAATATCAGATTTGGCAGGAACTTCAGAGGTCAAGTCCAAATCATAGCCAAACAAGAATCCTATATACAATATACTCAACAAGTGGTAATTCAGTCTTTTGCCTAAAGACCTCTTGTCTTTACCACCCAAGACAGACCATCATGATTTGGGATAGCTCTATTTCTTAGGAAGTATTCCTTGACCTTCACCCTGAACGTATCTGCTTGTAACCTCCATTAGAGGCAGAATGTGGTATAGTAAAAAGAGCATTGTCTCTGGAGTCATAGAACCTGGGTTCACATTCCACTTTGATACTTAATACCTATAATTCTAGAGATAATACTCCTAAAAGATATGATGAGTCAGGCACAGGGTTTTTTTTTTTTTTGGTGAGGCAATTGAGGTGAAAGGACTTGCCTGGGGTCCCGCAGCTAATAAGCATCAAGTGTCTGAGGCTGCATTTGAACTCAGGTCCTCCTGATTGTAGGGTCAGTGCTCTATCCACTGTGCCACCTAGGTGCCCTGGGCACAGGTTTTTAAACAAATGCTTTATTGGTGTTTAAAAAAACAACAACAATATTACTATCAATGTCAATTGGTCTAGACCGTTCCAGAAAACAATATGGAAATATTCCCCACAAGTCAGTAAACTGTGAATAACCTTTGACCTAGACATACTAAGCCTATACCAAAGAGGTCAAAGAAAGAATAAAATGAATCATACGTACAAAAATATTTATAGCAACTCTTTTTTAGGAATAAAGAACTGAAGACTAGGGGAATGACCATCAATTGGGGAATGACTGAAAAATTAACAATACTTGAATGTAATGGAGAATTATTGTTCCATAAGACATAACAAAACAAACAGTTTCAGAAGCCACTGGAAAGACTTCTATGAACTGAAGCAGTGAGGTGAGAAGAATGATTTATACAATGACAACACTGTGAGGATGAATTACTTAAGAACTTTGATCAACAAAATGACTAACCATGATTCCGAAGGACCAATGACAAAGAATGTTACCCAATGCTTGGCAGAGAGGTGACACTCAATGTGTAGAGTGAGATGTACATTGTTGGACATGACCAATGTGAGAATTTGTTGTATTTGACTGCATATTTGTTATGAAGGTTTTCTTTTTTTTTTTCCTCAATGGAGTGGGCAAGGAGAAAATGGGGAGAGAAGAGAGAAAATTAATTCTTGTTAATTGAAAAAATGTTTAATTAAAGAAAATTGTTATCACCACCCAACAGCTCTTTCTTTTCATTTACACCTCACAAATGGAAGGCTACCTTGTAATAAGAAAGTATATTTAATTTAAGGAAAAGGTCAACGCATTGGCTATATCTGATAACATAGACCTCATTCTGTACCTATGGTTTCCTGAGAGAGAGGTGTGTTTCCTCTTAAGTCCTGTCTATTCACAATCGATGTATTGATCAGAGGTGGTAAGGCCCCTTCTAGCTGTTCTTGCAATAAATGAACTTAATATAGGGGGATTAACTGTTCTTTAAATATTTGACATAATTCATGTCTATTGGAGTCCAGGTTTTATTTTTTTCATTGAAAGTTTATGGATTGTTCAATTCTATTTTTGAGATCAATTTTTGAGATCTCTAAAGGTGTTGTTTTAATTTTCTATGTCCTCTTAGTTTGGAGTTTGGCATTTTATATTTCCCTTAGTAGAATGTAAGCTCCCTGAAGGAAGGGACTGCTTCTTGTGTGTGTGTGTGTGTGTGTGTGTGTGTGTGTGTGTGTGTATTCTCTTAGCACCCATACACAGCAGTTGCTAAATAAACATTTATTGAATTAAATTTTTAAAATATCCATCTATTTCAACTAAGCTTTTACTTTTGTTGGCACATAATTGGATAAATAGTTTTCTTAAAAATATCTTTTATTTTCTTTTCATTTGTTTTGAATTTCTCTTCATTTTTCATATTAGTAACTTGGTTTTTCTTTCTTCTTACTGTTTTAGGCTCATTAATGGTTGCCTATTTTGTTCATTTTTTTCAAGCTATATAATTATCTCAGTAGGGTTTTTGTTTATTTTCCATTTTGTTTTTCTTTAATTTTAAGAATTTACATTTTTTTGCTTATTTTGAATTATTTATTTGTTGCTTCTTTAGGTTTATTTAGTTGCTTATTCAATTCATTGATCTCTTCATTCTCTCTTTTATTCTCTTTTAAGTGTTTAGAGATAGAAAACTTTTTTCTTTTAAGGACTACTTTGGCTACATATAAATCAGTATGATATATTCTCTGATTGTTATCATGTTGTTTGATATGAATATTTATTACTTCTATAGTTCGTTTTTTGACTCACTAAGTAGTTAGGATTACATTATTTTATCACCTTTTGAGTCTGAATTTTTTCTTCCAATTTTCTTGATTAATTACATCTTTTATTAAGCTATGAATATATCTAGTATTTATATCTTTTAAATTTATTGATGAGTCTTTTATGCACTAGAATATGGCCAGTAATTTTTAAAGGTGCAATAAAACTGAAAATTATGTATATTCCTTATAATGCTCATTCAGTAACCACCAAAGATCTATTATATCTAATTTTTCAAATATTCTGTTCATATGGCAAATATTATTCATATTTACTTTTCTATTGTATTTGTTTACATCTGAGGGGGGCATGTTAAAAGTTGCCAGCACTTACTGTTTTTCTTTCTAGTCTCTCCAATAGTTCAGTTGATTTTTCCTTTCAGTACTTAGAGACTGTTTTTTGGTGCATATGTATTTATCACTGATACTGTTTTGTTACCTGTGGTGTCCTTGAGCATAATGTGGTTTCCCTGTTTACCTCTTCTAACCATGCTTATTTTTAATATTTGCCTTGTTTAAGATCATGATTGCCATCTCCAGCTTTTTTGTATTCAGCTGAAGTATAATAGATTCTACTTCAACCTCTCATTTAAACTCTAAATGAATTTTATATTTTTAAAAGAGGCAACATATTTCTCTCTCTTTCTTTTTTTTTTTGCATTGTCTTCACTTCTTCATTTAAAAAAATGTGTAGACCCTACACTGCAGAGTATCTTAAGGGCAGCTACATGGTGAAGTGGATAGAATATTGGGACTGGAGTCAGGAGGGCCTGAGATCAAATATGACTTTAGATACTTTTTAACTGTGTGACCCCAGACAAGTCAGTTTGCCTCAGTTTGCTCATCTGCAAAATGATCTGGAGAAGGAAATGACAAACCATTCCAATATCTTTGCCAAGAAAACCCCAAATTGGGTTATGAAGAGTCTGATATGTCTAATTGTGCTAACAACAAGAGTATGTTAATATGTATTCTTTTTGGTCCATCTTTTTTGGTGATGATTTGTTGTTTGATTTGACACAGTTTCTTATTGTTCTTGAGGTGGGTTTTAGAGGGATTTGGCTTTAGTTTGATCTTTTGATTATCTTTGTTTTCCCATAACCATATCTTATCCATAGCCCTGGTCTCTCTTGTTAGGTCCACTCACTGGATAAAGTACATGCTAGATTGACCTCAGAGTAACTGAGGAAAGAGTGCCAGAGAGGAAAGCAGATGGGTGATGTAAACTGAAGGTCCCTGAAGAATTTGATGAGTCTAGGTCTGGGATTATAAGGTCAGGACATTTTCATAATTTTCTATATCATCTTCATGGTTCTTATCCATGGCCCTATCTTTCCCTGTTGAGTCATCAGGGCTATATGTCTTCACCTCAGAATACATCACTGAGTCATCCTAGAAGAAGAAAAAAAATAGATAAGGGCATGGAGAAGAAAGAGAAAAGGGGCATAGGAAAGGAAATGCAGGGAACATGATTCACCTTGTCCTCTGGAGGGGTCTCTGAGGTGTCTTCTGTGGAGAGAAAAGGAGCACTGAGTTGTACACAAGATCTTCCCACATAGAGCCCATACCTCATATTCTATGTCCTAGTGCCAGAACCACTGTGCTGTCATTGCTTCCCTCTACATTATTTTTCCTTTCTCCCTTCTCTTTCTAAGTTCTAACCCAGACAGCTTTCTGTTTCAACTTCCTCTAAAATTCCACTCACACTGCCTTTTCCATCTCTTTCCCCAGCCCTCACCTAAGGAATGTCTAAAGAGTGGCTGCTTTTGCTATTTGCTTCTTGTTTCTATGATCATGAGAACTTGATAGAGGCTTCTCCTGCTTGCTAAGAATATCTGTCCTTGCTGTCTTAATGTAATCATCTCTAATGGTCAGCAACTTTCTATAACAGATGCCTACAAGGCTTGTGATTCTTAGCTTGTCCATGGATTCCTCTTGGAGAGGGTCCCTTAATGAAGGGAAGGGAGAAATGTGTTCTCACTTTATGCATTAGAAATTGGACACTCAGGAGAAGTAGCTAGATCTCAAGTGACAATAGTTTTCCAGAGACAGAATCAGGAAGAGAAGTTACTCAGAGATTCATCTATATCCCTTCCCAAAAGACTCCAGTGGAGGTGAGGAGGGAGAGAAAGTTAGGTTAATCTTCTACTACTATTCCCTCTCAGAATCTGTCCAATAATATGAACCTGGAAAGTAGCTAGTCACTAGCCACATGAGAATACCATCTTCCTGCCACGTTACCTAGGGACACTCTTGCAGCTTCTCTCTAGCCCTTAGATTAGGGTTGTGCTAATTAGTGAGAGCTTACTACCTCTGGAAGACCACAGCCACCCCCACAATACCATCTTCCTGGACAGCAATTGTCCCCCACTTCATTCTTCTCATTTTATACTTCGCATGCTTGGAACATTAATGAAATCAATACTACCATCGCTTCTGATTTAGATTATCCTATTACTGTGCTTATCATCTCTATAGCTTTGCCTTTCCCTGACCACTGCACTCCTCTACCTCTCTCTCAACATGAAAACCCCTTAAGGACAGGGACTGACACTTTTTAAAATTTGTGTAACCAGGGCCATCCAATTGGCTATGCTCAGAGTCACCCTTCCTGATTCTGGTTAAGCATGTGAGAAATTTGTCGCCTTGTGGTAACTCAGTGTTAAAAGAACTTGGTGTTTTGAAATGATGAAGGGGTGTCCTCAGTGGTGCTGAGCCATTGATTGTGGCAATAGCTGGAGAGCTTGCGGGCAGTTGCAGCAGCAGAAGGATTAGCAGTTCTCCAATTTATCTTATTTATGTCTTGTTTGTATGTAGTTTGCCTTTCTTTGTATCCCCAGGGATTAACGCAGCATCTGACATGTTGTAGACTCTTAATGAATGTTTGTTGACTTAATTCAAATGAACACGGGATACAATAGAAGCTGGAACAAGAGACAAGCCTGGGAGCTGAGCAATGTGGTGCTGTGATAGCCTATGGATCCACTGTCTGAACTCTCATTGTGGCTCCATCTGTCTCTGATTTTAGTGGCCAGAATGGGAATAATGGTTGTTGACTTCCCATTTGGGAGAATCGGTACCAGATAGTGAAGGACTGTCTCCATTCTGTCCCAGTAGGGCAGAAACTGGTTTTAATGTGTAGTCTGTTCTCTAAAATTATATTTATAATATCTGTTTAAATAGTTTTAATTTCCTTTGTGGGTTGGATAAATTTGACTTAATTGCTTTGTTCTATCCAAAACTTCCAGGCTTTCTTCTGGCTGAGGGCTGAGTCCAATTAAGAGATAGAATCCTATGATTTTGATCTCTTAGTAACTCAAAAAAAATAAACTTCACAAAAGGCAGAACTAAACTGGTTTTACTTTCTTTGCTCTAGACTAAAAAAATTTAGTTGGGACACCATTTTGCTGTCTGGGACAAAGTTGGGCTCTTGAGGCATGTAGCCTCATTTTCTCCTATTCTTCTCCCCTCCATGCATGTGCAGAGAAAGCTCTCTTCAGGGGTGGTGTCTGAGGAAATGACAAGAGAGAAGGAACTGCTTGATGGATGGAGGAAAAGTGTGGTTAATTTGGCTGGAAATACTCATGTTCTTAAGATGGTGGCCTGAGGGAATGAATACTTTTCCCTTTTGGCTTCACTTCCACTTTCTGGCCTATATCCAGACAAGCACATAAAGCAGTTTGTGGGATTTCTGAGTAGGTATTTTATCTCAGTTCTGTATTGTCTAAACAACTCTTAGTACATGCACGCTGGTAGAATGGCTAAGCTTGGCCTAGTCTTCTTGTTGGGGGCTTGCCTTTCTCTGCCACCAGGATGCTCTACTCATTGGACCTAGAACCTCCAGACCTCTCCAACACGCAAGGTCACATTCAAGTCTAGACACATTCAACTTGAGAATGGTCTTTGATTACCAACTGAAGAAAGGAAACAGAAAGCAAAAAAGGCTGCCAGGATCCCAGGTGCAGCTTGCCTAGTTAAGTCAATGTTTCACATGTAGATGGAAGGAAGTATAGAGAAAAAGGTTCATTACTTGCCCCATGTTAGAGTTGGATTTTTTTTTTTGACTGACAACTCCTCACCCACTTGCCACTGTTATGGGGGCAGGAAATAACTAAGGGATCATTCAGGGTTTGTTATATTATACACAAATGGCTATTCTTAGTGCTGTATCACTGGATTTCTGGGAATAGACCACAAAATTCCCACATGGTCACCTGGACCCAGGAAAGCAACTCTGAGCAGGTTCCAAGGAATGGCCCTCATTGTATTTGTATCTCCAACACTCAGCAAAGTGTCTGACCCTTAGTAAGTGCTTAATAAATGCCTCTTCAGTGACTATGCCTCCCAGCTCATACTGTTCTGTGGTTTAGGTCGTAGATAAGGAACAGATGGTATCAGGATAGTCAGTTGGCTCTAATGACCATACTCCACGCAGCAAGGAAAGGAAGCACTACAGTGACCAAGGATACATTTTCAGATGGTGCCACGCATTGGGGAATGTCTGGGAAGGTCTAGGGACTGACTGATTAAGAAGTTGAACTGCCCACAAAGAAGTGACATTCAGACCAAAGGACAGTCCTCCCAGGAATGGTCACCATTCTAGGGGGCTATCAAAGAAGGAGCATTAAATCCCAAAGACAGCATCTGTTTTTGGAGATCTGTTGAACAGACATTACTCATAAGGATCGTGGGTTCTAGAGACAAATGAGACCTTAGAGACAATCTAGTACAACCCTGTCATTTAACAGATGAGGACACTGAGGCCCCTGGGGTTAAAGTGATTTATCCAAACTCACAGGTAATAAGTAAACCCTTAATTCAAATTCAGGTGTTCTGACTTCAAATCCAGTCCTTTCCCCCCTACACCATGCTGTCTCTGCTGAGCTTCAGAAATGTCCTCTCTTTAGTACACTCACTACATAATATTTTGGATTATAATTACCTGTTTGTGTCTCTTCCCTGTTCTCACCATCTTTCCCCTTATGAGGGCAAGGATTGTGTATTATTTAAACTTTCTTTTTCTCCTAGCACATGGTACATCTTTACATGGTAGGTGCTTAATGTTTATTGAGATGAATTGAATTGATCCAGAGTCAGAATCTTGACTCTCCTCTTCTCTGTACTTTTTTCCTTGGTAGTACCATTATTCCTATGCCTTCATCTATCAACTTATACCTATAGCTCCCCAAAGTCTAATTCCATATTTCCAACTACTTGACTGGAAATCTCCATCTGGATGTTCCCCCTACACTTTAAACCCAATCTGTCTTAAAATGCTCCTTTCCCATTCTCCCCACCCCAACCACCCCCTATTTCTAACTATTATTTCTGTTCATCAAATTGATATTATCATTGCTTCTGGAAAGAGTATGCCAATTGATTGCCTTTAGCCCTGCCCAGGCTAAAACTCCCTTCTCTGGCCACTGTTTCCCTATTATATCATATACCCCACTTTCAGAAGGTAGGCTCTTTTGTAGTAAGAACTGTCTTAGTTTTTTATTTGTATCCCCAATGATTAGCACAGTGCCTGGCATATAGCAAACACTTGATAAATGCTTTTCATTCATTCATTCATCCATTTATTGTACAACAGCTTTCTTATTGGTCCATACTTGAATCTTTGGAGTATCCTTTGATTCTCCTCTCTTCCTCATTGCCTTTTCCTCTCACCTTCCAACTGAATCACTTGACAAGTTTTATTAATTTCTACCCCTCAACCACTATCTGTGTCTCTTGAGTCTTTGCTCATTCTCTGTTCTTGTTCTCTCAGCCATGATACTAGTTTACCACATCATCACCTCTTGCCTATTCTGTTTCAATAGCCTCATCACTGGTCTCCTTGACTTGTCTTTCTCATGCCTGTTCCATATTGTACACTGCTACCAAATCAATTTTTTAAAGCATAGCTCTGATCATGTTACTTTCATACTTAGAATTTTTCATGGTCTCATACTACCTATATAGTCCAATGCAAACTTCTCAGTATGGCATTCAGGACTCGCCACATTATGATCCCAACTTATGTTCTCAGACTTATCTCCTACTATTCCCCAGTGCATCTATCAAACAAGACAATTATTTATGCCCATAATATGCTCAGTAAATTCCTGGTTTTGCACCTTTGTTCAGCTTGTACACTATTTCAAAAATCCCCTCCTTCCTCTTCTTTTCATTTTATCCTTGCCGTTGCTGACTGGTGAAATCCATGACTTATTCAAGGCCACTGCTCAAATGCCACTCCCTCCATGAAACCCTCCATTATCTCCCCTAGCTGGATTGGAACACTTCCTCCTTTGACCCCTCTATACACCTCTTTACTACCTTTCTACCTCTCTTCTAACACTTACACTGTTCTAACTTGATTTATAATGATGTTGTCTTATCTCCCTCCTAGATAGTGAGTTGCTTAAGGGAAAGAACTATGTGTCTTTCTATACCACAGAGCACAAAGTTTACAGATTTTTGTTGTTGAGTCATTTCAGTTGTGTCTGACTCTTTGCAACTCCATTCAGGGTTTTCTTGGCAGAGAGATTGGAAAGGTTTACTATTTCCTTCTCTAGCTCATATTCTAGATGAGGAAACTGAGGCAAACAGGGTTAAGTGCCTTGCCCAGGGCCACATGGCTCGTAAGTGTCTGAGGCCAGATTTAAACTTAGGGAGATGAGTCTTCCTGGTTCCAACTCCAGTGTTCTAACCACTGTACTACCTAGCTGCCCAAGATAAAACTCAATAAATAAGTGTGGAATAGAACTTTTGTTTCTCTGCACTATGGACCACACTGTGAATTATCTGTTTCCAGTGATAGGATACAACAGAGAATACAAACTTCGCCAGAAGATTTTGATCAAAAGTTCACACCACAGGCTCTTAGAATCATGAAAGAGATCTAATCTCATCCAAACCACTTTCTTATGCATGAATCCCATCAGTCATCCCAACCCATAAGTGGTCATCCAGTCTTTGCTGAAATGTCTCTAGTGATGGGAATTTATTGCCTTGCAAAGACCAGTCTATTTTGAGATGTTGCAATCTATGGATACACGCCATAAACCTTAACAAAAATGTGATTCTGAATTATAACTACTGACCAGTGTCTTACCTCTGTTTATTTTTCCTTGATTCATATCCCATACTTCAGAATAGACCACATCTTCAACGAATGGAGTCACTGGAAGAGAAGAAAAGGTTTCATAGGAGGTCCTGGCCGTAGTTTCAAACCACTGAATCTTCTTCCTCTCCAACTCCTATCGAATTCACAATTCTAGAGGAGTCATAAGATGAAGAGCCAGGAGGAATTCAGAAGCCAGTTACACCAGCTTCCTCATGTTACACTTTAATAAACCCAAGTCCAAGGAGATTGTGACCTTGGTACAGACAGAAAATGGCAGGGGCAAGATTTGAATGTAGGTCCTCTGGTTCCAGATTTAATAATCTTTCCACTATTGATTTATTGTGAGCGACCGGGCCTAAGCAGAGCCTCTCTGCCTCTGTTTCCCTCTGTCTCTGTCTCTCTCTTTCTCTGTCTTCCTCCACTCCATACCTCTTCTCTCTGTTTATTTCTGTTTCTTTTCTGTCTCTGTCCCTCTCTCCCCCTCTCTCCTTAGGAAGCAGCTAGGTTGCTCAGTGGATAGGGTGCTGAACCTAATGTTAGAAAGGCTTTAGTTCGGTTCTGGACTTAGACACTCACTAGATGTGTGACCCTGGCCAAGTCACTTAACCTCTGCTTATTTCAATTTTCTCAATTGTAAAATGGGGATAACAGCCCCTACCTTGCAAGGTTGTTGAGCTTGTAAGAAGCCCTTAGAATAGTATTTGGCATATGTATACACACACACACACACACACACACACATACACACATACTATATAAGTATGTGTGTATATGTATATATCTAGCTGTATCTCTATATGTTTATTTTCTTCCCCTTCCTGACTTCATGTGCCTACGCTAGAATCCTGTTCCAATGGGAAAAGACTTTACCATTGTCATATATTGGCTGCTGCTCCACTGGGGGGATTGACTTTGAGTGGCCAGATTCTTGGGGGTCTGTGATAGGTTGGTCCCTGTGAGACACAGAAATACATGATATACCTTGGGACAATTTCAACACTGAATGTGAGTGACTGTCAGGAAGAGAACCCTGGGAGGAAGGAGGATGGGATATGAAGAAGAGGTCTGGACAGCTTATGAGATGGTTTATGTGGGACCTTCCAGGAGAAACACTAGTCATGAAATAATAGCCCAAAGTGGAGCCTAGACTAGAAGATGAGGTATGGTGGCCTGGAGACGGGCCCCAAACAATGTACTTGGTCACTGATGCAGTGGCCACTCTGGTTGCCTGGGTGGCTCCATCAGCTATCCTTATCCTTATAAGTATGTGGAAAAAACATCGATTGAACACTTTTTTATGTTCTTGTCCTTGGACTGGACAATCTGTAGAATGAGTTAGGCAAATTTGGTGCAAGCCACCTGAGGATTGATAAATAATCTCAGCCTAAGACTCTGACATGAACAGAATCAGAGAACACATAGACAAATGTACATCATCAAACAAGTCTGTAAGTTAGATATTTAAGCAAGCATGATATTAATGGTAAGTCTACGTAGAGCAGTAAATGGATAGCCATGGTAACGAGTCAGGGCCATGGGCAATGACTGGGTCCTGGGAATTATTTTTGCCTATCCCAATGCATGTAAAACAGAACCTGGACACATCCATCCCAAATGACAAATGACAGAGACTAGACCCAGTTCCATGTCTTTGTAGTGTGGATGCCCAGATAATGAGAAAAACAGAAGAAGCCGAGATCTCACCTGGAAAGCTCAGGGACAAGACTTCCTCCTAAAAGCAAAATAGAGGAACAGCATATTAGCAGAGGAATGGAACAGCAGCTTCCTCCCTTTTCCCTCCCTTCTTCTTTTCCTCCTTTTCTTCTTTCCTTCCTTTCTTCCTTCCTCCTTTCTTCATTCCATCCCTCTCTCCCTTACTCCCTTCTTTTCTCCTTTCCTTTTTTCCTCCCTCCTCCCTCCTCCCTCTTTCCCTTCTTTCTTTCCTTCCTTCCCTCCCCCTCTCTCCCTCTTTCCTTTCTTTTCTTTTTTCCTTCCTTTCTTCCTTCTTCCCTTCTTAATTCCCTCCCTCTTTCCCTTTCTCCTGTCTCTCCTCTCCTTCCCTCTCTCCTTTCCTCTATTCCTTCCTTCCTTCCTTCCTTCCTTCCTTCCTTCCTTCCTTCCTTCCTTCCTTCCTTCCTTCCTTCCTTCCTTCCTTTCCTCCTTCCTTCCCTTATTCCACCTCTGAGAATCCATGAATCTTTAGTCAGCAGCTAATATGTCCTATTGTTGATTCACCGTGCTTTCACAAAGATGTAGTGTAAATGAATAGCTTATGTTTAGAATGACAATTTTGTATTGTTTCACAGGCTTTAATCTTATCTTTATAATAATTCTACAAATTCCCAGTGGGCAAAGATTGACTATTATTCTTCCCAAGGTCTGATGTCTAATCTTGGTTCTGCCATTGGCTATGTATTCTGTTATCTTAGTCGTTGTTTCCCTTTTCTGCATCTCAGTTCTTTTACCTGAAAAATAAATTAGGTAAAACTAGATGATCTCTAAAAACACTTTTAGTTCTAAAATTCAATTTTTAAAAATTCTGGACCCCTCCTAGTGCCTACAACAGTCTGGCCACATAGCATTCACTCACTCAGTACATACTTGTTGAATTCAAAATCCATTCATGCATACTTCATTTGACAAACATTGATAACTACACATTGAAGATCCATATCTGTAAAAAAATTATTTGTACCTGCCCTCAATAAGTTTACATTCTACTTGGGATAAGGAAATAGGACGTAAATGTAGATAACTATGTAAAAAGTAGAAAGTATTCTGTGATGAAGGAGAGATAGAGTACTCTAGGAAAAACTGAGAAGGAAGGGTTTACTTACAGCAGGAGGGAATCGGCTAAGGCTACCTTGAGGAGGTGGCACCTTAGCTAAGCCTTCAAGTAAGAGAGAGATTTTAAAAGGAGTTGGGCAATAAGGACAGCCAGGGGTGAACACCACCTAACAAGGACTGATTCCAAAAAGAATAATGTGGGAGCAGCTAGGTGGCACAGTGTATAAAGCACTGGCCCTGGAGTCAGGAGGACTTGAGTTCAAATCTGCCCTCAGACACTTGACACTAGCTGTGTGACCCTGGGCAAGTCACTTAATCCCATTGCCTAGTGGGAAAAAAAGAGAGAATAAGGTGGAAGAAGTGAGATCTGGAGAGCTGCACTGTACGATCATGAGAGGAAATCCAAGAGTCTGAGTGGTAAAGAATGATGGAAAGCATTTGGATGAAGACCAAATGAAGGAACAAACAGAAGCAGACTATTCTGATTGGAATATACTACAGACCACTTGGAAACAAACAGAAGATAGATTAGTTAAGAAAATATATCATTAGCTGGCACAGAGACATGCTGTAGGTCATCTGTCACAAGCTTTCTTCCTTGATTAAATACATCAAATCACTTCAACATTATTCCTCATTATTTCTTCCTTTTTTCAGTCTCAAAGAAATAAGTGATCTTTCTTGCCAACACCAACTCCTCTACTTGTGCCTTTGATCTGATCTCATCATGTCTCTTCTAGAAGCTTGTCTCTGCTCGCTCCCTCTGCCCAAATTACAGTCTCTTTACATCCACTGGCCCCTACCTAATTGCCTAAAAACATATCCATAGCTCCGCCTTCTTAAAAACCAAACCAAACCAAACCTTTACTTTACCCTACCATTTTTTTTTCAAGCTACAGTCCTTTGTTTCTTCCTTTCACAGCCAGATTCCTACACCAACCTCTCTATTCTTCTTGTACCCACCTTTTTACCTTCTACTCATTTCTCAGTGTCTTGCTATTTGGCTTTCATTCTTACCATGAAATTGAAATTTCTTTCTCCGAGGACACCCAAAGATCTTTTTATTGCTAAACCCGCTGGCCTTTTTTACCCCCAGTCCTCATACTATTTGAACTTTCTGCAGCATTTGGCAGTGTTGATCACCCATCCATCTGGATACCCTGTCCTCCCTGGGGATTTGTGACACCAATCTTTCAAGGTTCATTCTTGCCTGTCTGAAGGATCCTTCCTAGTCTGCCTGTAGGATCATGGCCAATTTCCACCACCTCTACCTCTGTGAACTCTTTCCTGAGCTCTCTCTTTGTCTTTAACTACATTGTTTTTCTTCATGACTTCATTAACTTCCACAAATTCAACTAACATCTCTGGAAGATAACTTCCAATTTATCTCTTTTCTGAGTTTGTTTAAGTCCTGCTATATATGTCCTCCTGAGTTTAAGTCCAATTGCCTGCTATATATGTCCTCCTGGGTTCCCCATATACGCCTCAAATTTGAAATGTGAAAAATAGAGCTCAGCATCCTTCCTTCCTTCCTCCTAATTTCCCTACATTCATTGAGGGTACTACTATTCTTCCCCTCACTCGAGTAACAGCTAAGGAGTCATACTTGATTCTTCACCCTCCTTTCCTCCTCATATACAGGCAGTTGCCAAATTTTGTTGATTCTGTATCCTCAACACCTCTCACATTCACTCCTTTTTCATCATTCACATTAGACCCAACATGGTTCAAGCACTCATTACTTCTTGCCTAGGTTATTAAAATAAACTCCTAGTCCTCCCCCCTTCATCTAATTTCTCTCCTCTCCAGTCTTTCCTACTTTCACTGCCAAATTGAAATTCCTAAAGCTCAAGTCTGACTCTGTCATTCCTCTGCTAATCGATTGAGAGGCTCTAATGCAATTGTTCTTAGAAGACTGATTACCAAGTGCATTGCAGTCTGCAGGCCCAGGACTCTGCCAAAGGATGCAGTGCCATTAATTCATGCCTTACTCTTCTCACGTCAGTGGTCTTTCAGCATTTGTTGCTTAACTTGTTTAAAGTATATGTCTAGACACATTTTTGAGATTTTTAGTGGAACAGCCACTATATTTCAAACTGTAGAGAATGTACCTTTTACTTTTTAAAATGGCATATTAAAAAGCTAGCAAGAAACCAGTGTAGACCATGGTGCATTATTTATTATGTAACTTGTGTGTGTGGTGTGTGTGTATCTAGATGTAAATGTATATGTGTGTATATATGTATATATAGCCTGTCTTTTTCCTATTCATTTCTGCTTTTAATATACTTGTGCAAGTTACTGTTACTGTTGTTTTTCTATTAATCTTTTGTGAACTTTCTGATTATGCAACAAAGTATATATATAGTCTTCTTTTGATTTATTTTTAATCACAGTATTATTTATTGTTTTCTTTCAGTGAAGTACTGATGCCTTTTCTTTTCTTTTCTTTTTTTTTATTTTTTTGATGCCTTTTCCAATGCCAAAACCTCCCCCCCAAAACAAAAAAAGCTTCGTAGTGCCCTATTGCCTCCAAGATCAAATATAACTTGCTTTTTGTTCTTTGTTCTTTATTTTTTGCTTATCAGAATGTTTGTCAGTAGTTGTTGCATTCACAATAAAGAAAAAATAAAAAGGAAATTAATTTTACAAATACAAGCTGTACTAGGTATTGTTCCATAGCAGTTTTATCTAGGAAAAGTTTTGGGGGTCTTTGTGGATTTCAAGCTTATTCTGAGGCAACAGTGTTAAAAAGAGGCTGAAGATATAAATGTGATCTTGGGGTGAATTAGAGAGGGGCATAATTTTTAGGGAAAAGGAGATAACATTCCTTCTGTCCTCTGCCTTGGGTTAGCCATAGCCCAGTTTGGGGCACCACAGTTTAGGAAAAACATCAATAAGCTAGGTAGTCCAGAGAACAGCATCCAGAATGGTGAAGTAAGCCAAGACCAAGCTAAAGGAAGATCAGTTGACGGGACTAGAGATGTTTATCTTGGGGAGGATATTATAGCCACCTTCAAATACTGAATAGCTATTACCTGGAAGAGGGATTAGCCTTGTTTTGTTGGACTCTACAGGGAAGAATCAGTAGCAATGGGTAGAAGCAGATTTAGGTTCAAGTCAGGAAAATCTTTCTCATAAACCAACCTATACCAAAGTGCCTTGGGCTGTCTCAGGAGCTAGCTGATTTCCTAAGCAAAGGTTGGTTGTCATTTGTTGAGTATGTTGTGATAGGGATCTCTTGTTTTTTCATCAAGAGTGAGTTGGACCAGATGGTTGTGAAGGTCTCTTCCAACTCCAATGTCGTGTGATTTTATAGTATTAGTGCTACACCCACAAGCCTTCTATGGCAATCAGAGGACTTTCTTATTGGCTGAGATTGAGCCTGGAAGTATTGACCTGGCTAATGAGCTTGATCCATTAGCCCTTCTCCACCATATCTTTAGTTTCAGAATAAGCTAGAAAATATTTTAGGGGAAAATTCCCAGCCTTAATCATTCTCCTGGCAGAGTAAGTTAAGAAACAATTTTTAAAACCTTGATTTCATGTTTCAGACTTTTAAAATGCGTTCATATCCATCACCTCATTTATTGACCCACAAAACAAAAACAAACAAGGCTGTGAGGCAGGCATGACAGAGCAGGTATTACTTTCCAATTTAACAAAAGAGGAAAGAAACTGAGAAACTGAGACTCAAAGAGATTAAGTAAATCATTCAATATTGTACAAATTAATTAATTAATAATACATTAAATTAGTAACACATAGTCCTTGGACAATGACTCTTTTAACTACGTTACCCTATGGTTTTCAGGTATTCTATCTTTTAAAATGTTAATTACTAATTGTGATAATTACTTATTGCATAAGTATTAATTACTTACTATATTTATAATAACAAAATGACTGATATTCACAGAAAGATTTAAGATTTGCAAAGTACTTTGAACCATACATTGTATATCTTGACCCTTATGCAAACTCTGTGAGGTTAATACTATAGGCATTGTTATGCCCATTTTGCAGGTTTTAGAAACTGAGTCTGTGAAGTAGTTTCTAAGATGTTGTTGAAATGCCATGATGAAGCATGGTACAGTAGGAAGAATAATGAATTTGGAGTCAAAGGAACTGAATTTGAATTCCAGCTCTGCTACTTAGTATCTATGGAATTTTGGGCAAATCACTTAACTGATCTAGGTCCTGTGCAATGCACTTCTTAACTGATCTAGGTCCTGTGCAATGCACTTATTCTTATTCAAACTGAAAAGGAGTTGGGGTGTGGGGAAGCAGGTCTCTTACTCTCCACTTATTGCTTTACAATGCATAGCCTGATCTCTAGTGTGCATCTACTGATGGGATGGTGGGACCTGGATCCCAAAAAGCCCTAAGACCATGTCACACACACACACACACACCATGAGAAAATTTCCCCTTGTTGCAGGCCTGACACTGTAATCCCCTTATCAGAACAGACACAAGGAAGGATTTTTTTTCCTTCTAGCTGGCCTAAGGGATCCTTAAGGTCCAAGCCTCTTTGCAAATTCCTTGCATTTTCTTTTTTTCCTTTTTTCCCCCTTTTTTAATTTTAAGCAATTGGGGTTAAGTGACTTGCCCAGGGTCACGCAGTTAGTAAGTTTCAAGTGTTTGGTCTGAGGCCAGATTTGAACTCGGGTCCTCCTGACTTCAGGGCTGGTGCTCTATTCACTGCACCACCTAGCTGCTCCTCTCTTCATTTTCCCAAAGGCACCTGAATCCCTTAATTACCTAATTAGCATCCTTAACACTCCTTTCCCTGCTCCTTTTCTCTATAAGCTTTAGATTCACCCCCATTAAGTTGCAACTTCCCCAAAGGAACTTAGCCCACTACTATTGGCATTACAATAAACTGCCTCTTGACTAAAGAGAAGGCTTGAGTGTGTGAATTCATTCCAGGCAATTCTGCCTTTGCATTCTCAGGGTCTCAGCACCCCCAAACCTCTTCATTACCATACCATAAAATGATCTGGGAGGAAAGGGTGGACATTCTGGGGAGAGGAAGTTGGATTTTACCAATGGCACCTTCCACGATACTGTTTTGGGTGCCCAGGTAGTGTTTGTATTCTAACTATCCAGTTCCTCTCCTCACTCTGAAGACTTTCCATCTTCTCAACCGCATGCTTCTCACCCTGGAGATCCCTCTCTTCTGAGTGGTGGATTCCTGGACCCAACCATCATTTAATAAGTTGTCCCAGCCATGTTTATTCACTTCATTCTCAGCTCCACTCTTCACTCTCCAAACTTTTCGACCTCCTCACCAGCACCTGCCTTGCTCCTGTGCAGGTACCATTTCCCTCCTCTTTCCTGATGTCTTTTGTGTGTTACCTTCCTTCATTAGAATGTATATACCTTAAGGGTAGAGATTGCCCCTCCTTTTTCCTTTTTTTCGCTTGTTTGCATTCCCAGGGTTTAATAAATTTTCTATCTATCTATCTATCTATCTATCTATCTATCTATCTATCTATCTATCTATCTATCCTATCTGCCTGTCATCTTTCTACCTTTCCATCTATGGAGCACACACTTAGTTCATCAGGTAACTTGTACAGGGGAAGATGCAACAGAATGAAAAAATGTTGGAGAGTGAAGATAGATGTGATAACATTGGAGACAAGCCCCACAATTAGCTATTGAAGAGAATGTTGGATACAACTCATCTTCCCACCCTCTAATTAGTTAATCGCATAACCCTTGGGATCCCCTTGGATCAAAACCCAGTCTTCCAGTGGATCCCAGTTTCTACTTTAAAGAAAACTGTTCCAGTGAATAGGCCTTGAAATTAAACTGTTTTCATTGTCTTAACAGACAATAATCACAGGGATTACAAACCTGATTTCCTCTTGAGCTTGAAGTAAACCAGAAGGGCAACGGCAGCAAGACCCGAGATGCTGAGCGAGGCCACAGTGCCTCCTATGATGAGTAGGCTCCTTTCTGCAGGGTCTAGGGAAGAATGAGAGCAATCTGAACATGAGTTCTAGAGTGTAAGGACATAAACTTCTTCCAAATACTATTAAATATCCACTCCCAGAAAGCACTGACTTGTGCACCAACATGACAGGAGATGGCATTTTTGTTTTTTGTTTTTTACCATCTCGTGGGGATGTTGGAATGGATCCCAGAACTTCTAACTTACCCGAGATGGAGAGTTCCAGCATCTCACTGAACTGGCTACTGAAGCTGTTGTTGGCCTCACAGTAATAATTCCCAGAATGCTCAGTTGTCACAGAGAGGTTAAAGGATGCTACATCTCCAAACAGGGCCAAGATGGTCTTCACAACTAAACCCTTATGATAAAACTGATAAAAGATTGGAGCAGATCCTTCGAGGACTTCACATCGAAACTCCAGCACTTCCCCTACAGCAGCTTGCATCCCAACTGCACTCAGGGTGAGAAGAGGGTGAGACACTGGAACTGAGGGAGAGAATGAAACATATCAGAGGGTGGTTCTTGAAATATGCCCATGAACCCCATAGCTGAAGGATGTCAATCACAAACATTTCTCTATAGAAATTTCTGACTTCCATAGTCCCCAAATTCTAGATCTTATGCTGGGACATTTCCTAGAGTGTTATGTTGATAATTAAAAAAAAATCAGTGACTTCAGTAAAAGAATAGATGATATGTTAATCAAAACTGCAGGTGACTGAAAGCTAGGAGAGCTAGCTAAACCCAATGACAGTGTCAGGATCCAAAAAATTTCACTAACTTTGGATGTTGGGTTGAATGAGATGAAATTTAACAGGGATGAATTTAAATTTTACACTTGGGTTAAAAAAAAGTCAGCTTCAGAAATAGAAGACAGAGGAAGCATGGTGAGGGATCATTTCAACTGAAAAGAATCCAGGGATTTTAGTGGACCACAGGCTCAATATGAATCAATAGTTTGATATAGCCTGCAAGAGAGCTCATTTGATATTGGACTGCATTAAGAAAAGTATAGTGTATAAGTCTAGAGAGATGCTAGTTCTACTGTTCTCTCCATGATGAGTCCACATCTGGAGTGTTGGATTCATTTCTGCACATGACACGAAACATATGACTTTGATAATCTGGAAAGAGTCCAGAGGAAGGATGGTGAAGGACCTCAAGATGATCTTATGTATGGAATAATTGAAGGAACTAAGGATGCTTAACCCAGAGAAGAGAAGGCTTCGCTTGACATGATAATAGTTTAAGCATTTAAAGGACTGTCTCTGGAAGACACATTATTTGCATTAATTTTGTTTTGTTGCCTCCAGAAGGTGGAAACTTGGTAGAGGGAAGGGGAAGTTGCAACATGGTAAATTTAGGCTTGATATAAGGGAGAACATTCCAATGAAAGTCATCCAAAAGTGGAATGGGCTATCTTAGGAGGCAGTAGTTTCTTCTTCATTGACAACCTCCAAGCAGTCTGGATGAACATTTATCAAATAATGCTATAGCTGCTTTTCTTGTTCCAATATTGGTAGGAACAGATGGTCTCTGAGGTCTTGTCCAACTCTGAGATTCTGTGATTTTGTGATTCTCTAATTCCTAGCTAATGTTTTTCTGGATATCTACCCAGATGCTAGGGGCAGCTAGGTGGTATAGTGCACAGAGCACTGGGCTTGAAATCAAAAAGACTCATCTTCCTGAATTCAAATCTGGCCTCAGACACTTACTAGCTGTGTGACCCTGGGCAGGTCACTTAATCCTGTTTGCCTTAGTTTCTTATGTAAAATGAGCTAGAGGAGGAAATGGCAAACCGTTCCAGTATCTTTGCCAAGCAAACCCCAGATGGGGTCATAGTCAGACACAACTTAAGTGACTGAACAACAACAATAACAACAAAACAACATCCATGCCCTGATTCTAAAACTTTTCTCTGTGAGTGACCTCTCCTATCTCCTCTAGAGCTCTGGTCTTTGCAAGCCCCTTGGAACCTCCTTAAGACCCCATGAGGACTCTCCCACATGGACATTGGCTGGGTGAGATGTAGGGGAGTAGAACTCACTCATCACACTGATAACCACTGTCCTGCTGAATATGGTGCTGATGTTATTGTCAGCGGCACACTGATAGCTCCCCTCATCACTCTTCTTTATAGTAGAGAACATAAGCTCTTCCTTCAATGAAGACTGTGTCTTCTTTCTTAGACAATCTTTGGTGGCATTTTTGTGCCAGCAAAACGTGATATTTCCTGTGCCTTTAGCTACTGAGCAGGTGAGGACCAGCTTCTCTCCTTCAATCACCTGTGTCTTTGGGGGCTGGATCTCCAGGAGGATGCCAGAGACAGGGATTCCTGGGGGAACACAAGGTGCCACATGAAGATCCTGGATGTAGGAGACTTTAGGGACAGCAAGGAAAACTGGAATCACCTTGTATAGGACCAGAGCATGTGGACTTGTTGAAACAGAGTGACAAGAGAGGAAGCAAATATCACTATAGATTAGAATGGAGAAAGGGAAAAATTCTGAATATATTCCTGGAAAGAGGGCAGTAAGATCCAGTCTATTCCCTTATTCAAGCTCCAATCACTCCACAATGACTTCATTGACTCCACCAGATTGGTTTCTGTCAGTCACTGCCTCTGTCTCCCTCTCTACCCCCTCCCCAGACCCATCCCTTCTTTTTGAGTCAAGGTCATATATTTCAGGATTAAATTATATGATTGTTGCCTGTATCTCTCAGATGCTTTTAGGTGGGGCATATGTCTGAATCTTTTGTATTACCCCAGAACAGAATATAGTGCTGGCACTTAGTAAATGTTTAATAAAATATTCTCTGTTACAGGCAGCTGGGCTGTACAGTGGATAGAGAGCTGAGATTAGAATCAGGAAGACCTGAGTTCAAATTTGAACCCAGATGCTACTTCTATGGCCCTAGGTAAGTTGCTTAACTCCTCTCTCTTTCAGTTTCCTCAGCTGTAAAATGTGTATCATAATAATACCTCTCACACAGGATTGTTTTGAATTTCAAATAAGATAATATTTCTAAAGTGCTTAGCAAAGTGCCTGGCACATAGTAGGTGCTTTGTAAATGCTTGCTCCCTTTCTGTTGGGTTGTTGATTTGATGGTTTAAAAAAAAAAGCAGTTACATAGAAGTGGAAATATTGTTAGCACTGAAACTCAAGTTGTATCTTACTGATGCCCCACTGGAGAAAGGGTGGAACCCTAGGAACTCTGGTTGGCTCTCTCTGATGCAACTCCCATTCTCAGAGAGACAAAGAAAGGACATTAGCGATGAAACCCCAAATGGTGACATTGCCCTTCCCTCCACCTCTCAATTCCAGCCCTGCATCACTGACACTCACTTTTCACACTGATCTTCATGTGGTTGCTCTGTTTCTGAATATTCTGAGTCACAGCTTTTGCCTCACACCAGTATGACCCTGAGTCTTCCCTCCAGATGGCTGGGATCTGGAGCACCTGAGACTCCTTCCAGTCTGATACGATGACTCTGTCATCTCTGAAGAAGGAGAAGTGCAGCTTGGTGTCTGACCTCTGTGGAGGGAGCTGGGTCTCACAGCTCAGGGTCACTGGGGTCCCCTCAGTGGGCTGGGAGGTTGTGGTTTTCAGCTTTGGGGGTGGAAACAGTTCTAGAGAGAGGAGGCAAACACAGTGCCCAGGACAGTTAATGTCAGAGCTCCTGGGGTGACATGTCTTGTGTTGTCAGCTGAACAGATGAAGGGACACACAGATGAATCCATCTCATTTACCTTCTATGCTCCAGCCATGAGCTCCCCTCACCTGTCCCCCAAGACTGAAGGTCTTACCTTGGACTTGGAGCTTTACCTCTTCTGATGTGTATTGATGCTGTTTGTTCTTGGCCTTGCAATAATACAGACCACTGTAATCTGAATTTACATCAGGGATTGAGAGCACTGAATTTTCACTGACATAATGAAAGACCTTTTTATCTTTAAAATATGAAATACGTGTGAGTTTTATATCATTCCGTTCTCGGCATCTCAGGAGCAATTTGTCTCCTTCAAACACATAGTATGGAGTTTGAAGAATCAGCACATCTGTAAGAGAGAGTAGAGGACTCAGTTTACCTTTTACTGGCCCTTAATCTTTCTGACCATCTCTAAAAAGGAAAGGCCCATAGATACCTGTCATATATTAAAGGATTCTGGTTTCACCCTCTTTGTTTCCTCACATGACCCATCTATATAACCAGTTTCTCTCACTCTAGGATGACCTTTTTTCCAGATGATATCATATTTGATAAATTCCCCTGCTCATTTTTGTATCTAGAAAGGGAATTTCATTGACCCAAGTTCATACCCAACCTAAGACACTTACTACCTGTGTGGCCCTGGGAAAATCACTTATCTTTGTCTGCCTCAGTTTCCTCATCTACAAAATGGGAATACTAATAACACCTACCCCCCAGGGTTGTTATAAGGAATAGACTTCAGGTATTATTGACCTCTTCCCAGGAATATATTCAGAATTTTTCCCTTTCTCCAGTTCTAATCTATAGCCATCTTTATTTCCTCTGTTGTCACTCTTTCATCAAGTCTGCATGCCCTGGTCCTGTGCAAGGTGATTCCGGTTTCCCTTGCTATCCCTAAAATCTCCTGTCTCTGGCATCCTCCTGGAGACCCAGCTCCCAAGGACACAAGTTATAAAACACTTTGTAAGCCTTAAAGTGCTATACAAATGCTAGCTATTATTATTATCACTACTATACTTCTATCTATGGTTAGGACTAGCCCTTATCTGCCTGGTCACCTGAGAATATCCATTACCTACAAGGTCTGAGGAGAGCAGAATGGCTCCCCAGCTCTGATGCTTCTCTGGCTCTGACTCCTCCCTTAATGTCATGGTGCGTTCAATGTTAAAATCCCTAAGGTCAGCTCCACCTTTTTCATTTCTCCCTCCCTGTAGGAAGTTGCACTTCAAAGCTCTTTTCTAAGGATGTGATTTCTTAGGCTGTACTCCATTGTTTACTCACTATTAGAAAATACCAGGTACACAGGATCACTAATGGATGAGTACTCCATTTCGCATCTGTACTCTCCACCCTTGGTAACTTCAAGAGGGTTTGAACTCTTCTGCCATCCCTTCTCGTAGAACCACCACAATTGCTTTGGATCTAGCAGATGGGATCCATTGCAGGTCAAAGTCACCTTCTCTCCTTTGAAAACAGGGGTCCATGGAGGACTTGGTATTACCACAACTTTCTTTGCAGCAGCTGCACAAAGAAGAGAAAGAAAGAGGGTCTAAGATTTTAGTGTCCAAATCCCCCTTCTTGAAATATGTGATGGGGAAGAAATAGAAGAGTGTTGGCCCCATCCCATTTTGAGCTTAAGTCCAACAGCTTGTGGTTTAATTATGGGCGTAAATGCCCTTCTCTCCCTCTATTCCCCTTTTCACCCCTTTTCCTCTTCCCACACCTGTGTCATCATAGAAGTCAAGGACCATCTAATGCCAGATCAATCGATCAGCAGACCTTCTTCACAGGGTTATTATGAGGATCAAATGAGGTAACATATGTATAGCACTTAGCAAATCTTAAACCACTGTATAAACATTATTATCATTGTTGATGAAGATGATGGTCCTAAATGATGCAGTGGATAGAGCACTGGCTTTGGAGTCAGCAGGACCTGAGTTCAAATCTGACCTCAGACACTTGACACTTACTAGCTGTGTGACCCTGGGCAAGTCACTTAACCCCATTGCCTAGCGCCCCCCCCCAAAAAAAGATGGTAGTAAAAGCACTATGTGTCAGGTTTGGAACCTAGCCCTGGTTTGTCAGAACAGAAGTAGGAGAAAAAAACAGTCCCTGTAAGCCATTGTATAGGAAGAGGGGATCCAGGTTAGTACTTCTTGAAGCACTGGGAGCTACAGCAGAATAGAAGACCAACTACATGCCTAAGTGTCACACTAAGGACCCAGATAAAGGACCTGAGTCTACTCTAATATCTATCATCTGACCTGGGCCTGTGTGGGACACTGAAGGGGATGAAACCAATTCTGAATTGAGGACTGGGAAAGGAAAAGGAGATGAACTGGCTAAGACCAGTGCCCTCAGTTGGCCATGAAAGGAAATTGAGACAGAAACCAGGGGGTTGAGCCAGAGGGTGGAACCTAGTACCATTGACTTCATGAAGAACAGTAATGACAATGGCATCCAGAGACAGAGCTAAACAAGATCTACCCAACCAAATAAAAAGAAACCAAGAAACTGAGCCAAGAAATTATACTGAAAACATGAGTAAATGGATGAAAATGCTGAAAATGGTGAAGAAATATAATGGATTAAGAAAAATCCAAAAGGTGAAACTAGAAAACTAGAAAAAACTAAAACTAGAAAACAGGAAGTCTATAACTATGAGCTCAGTCCCAAAGGTGGGAAAATTACTTAACCAGAATAACTATAAGAATAGCTGGAAAAAATTAAGAGATTAAAAATGAAATAATAAATTAAAACTCTTGAGTCTAGAGGAAAAAGGTGAAAGAATAATAAATAATTTAGAAGAGAAGGCAGAATCCTCCCTCAAGTAGTGTATTTGCAAAAAAAAAAAGACTGGAGCAAACAGAAATTAAAAACTTCATGGACAACAAGAAATATTAGAATAGTCAAAAGATTGGGGGGGGGAAGAAAATAATAAGGTATCTACTATCAAAAGCAACTGACCTAGCAACTAGTTTAGGAGAGCTCATTTAAGAATCATCAGACTCCCTGAAAACTATGAGCAAACAAACAGAAAACTTTGGGCACCACATTTTAGAAAAGAAACACAAAATAAACTTCTACATCTTTTGGAATCAGAGAGAAATGTGAAAATAGAATTCATCAATCAAAAAGTACCCAAGAATGTAATAACAAAAATCAAGTGCTTCCAAGTGAAAGAAAAAAAAATACTGTAGAGTAGCTAGAAAGTTCAAGTATGAAGGAGCCACATTCAAGATTGCACACAATGACTTTGAGCTGTCATTTCACACCCATCAGAAAGGCTAAAATGATTGAAGGGGAAATGACAAATGTTGGAGGGGATGTGGAAAAACTGGGATGCTAATACAATAGTGGTAGAACCGTGAACTAATCCAACCATTTTGGAGAGCAATCTGGAATTATGCCCAAAGAGTTATAAAATTGTGTATACCCTTTGACCCATTGATATTACTGTTGGTCTGTTTCCTAAAGTGATCAGAAAAAAGGATAAGAACCTATATGTTCTAAAATATTTATAGCAGTTCTTTTTGTGGTGACAAAAAACTGGAAATTTCAGGGATGCCCATCAATTGGGGAATGGCTAAACAATTTGTGGTATATGATTGTGATGGGCTACTACTGTGCTGTAAGAAATGATGAGCAGGTTGAGTTTAGGAAAAAAAAACATGGAAAGACTTGCATGAAATAATGAAGAGTGAAATGAACAGAAACAAGAGAATATTGTATACAGTAACAACATATTGTTTAAAGAATAACTGTGAATGACTAAGTTATTCTAAGTACTATAAATACTCAAATCAACTACAAAAGACCTATGAAGGAAAATGCTCTCCACCTCCAGAGAAAGAACTGGTAAATAGAAGTATGCACAGTATGGTTTTACATATGTATGTATGTATGTATGTGTCTGTCTTAAATGATGGCCTTCTCTAGTGTGGGTTGGGAAGGGAGGGAGGGAAACAGTTTGGAACCTAAAATGGAACAAAAAAAATAAATTAAATTTTTTAAGAAGGAAGCAAAAAAAAATTGCACATAATTATGCTGTATTTTCTCTAAAAGAGAGGAAATTTTAGAATATGCTATACTGAAAGGCAAAAGATAAAGACTTTCAATCAAGTACAACTTACTTTGAAAAAAATGTGTTTGCACTATAAGGAAAATGTAACTTTAAATAGAATAGAAAACTTTCAACATTCCTGGGGAGGAGGCATAAAACACAACTGAAAAGAAACTTTGAAATGCAAACAAGAATTGAATATGATATTTGAAATGGAAACACAGAAGTAAAGAGAATCTGAGAAAATTAAGTCCATTTGAGCAAGAAGTGTTTACTTTCTAATGGGGAAAAAAGAAAGATATTCCTTTAGAATCTAATTGTCTTCAAGGGTCATCAAAGAAGGAAAGGTAAACACTGGACCTGAGTGTGGTTTTCTTCTACGTGTTCACATTTTTGACAAGAAAGAAAAGGGAGAGGAAAAGGAATATTCTAGGATGGGGTCCTCAAGCTATGGCCAGCAGGCCAAATCTGGTCTGCTACTTGTTTTTGTACAGTTAGTAAGCTTGGAAAGATTTTCCTATTTTTAAATGGTTGGGAAAAAAATGAAAGAAAGAATAATAGTTCATGACACTTGAAAATTACATGAAATTCAAGTTTCAGAGCCTATAGATAAAGTTTTATTGGAATACAGACATACTCATTCATCTATATGTTTTCTATGGCTGCTTTCTGGCTACAATGGCAGCTGAGTAGTTGCAACAGAGACCACATATGAAATTCTTACTGCTTTCTGTTGCTAATCAGCACACTACAAATTAAAGTGATTGAGTTATAACTTGACAGCATTTTGAGTGTCACATGTATCATTATAGTGTGATGTTTGTTTATTTTTTATTACCAGTACATATCTGCTATGTCAAAGCAAGAAAGGAAGAGAAAAAACATTATTATGATTTTTTTAAAGCACAGGATCAAGACTGAACATTTTCTGAATGAGGAGACCTGCCCACAACTGCTATTATCAAACACTGAATAAGTAGCTTTGGAATTAGCTTTTGCTGCAGACTTGATAATGTTTCTTAATGAATTCAACCTAAAACTACAAGGCAAAACCATACTTATTTATGAAATTTATATAGCAGCAAAGTCAATTCAAAGACAACTAACTTTGTTTAAATAAAAAGTAATGTCAAATAGCTTTATATACTTCTTGTGTTGTCAAAAGTTAAAACAAGAAGTGAGATCTCTATTTCCACACAAGTTTGCAGCAGATATATTTTCCAAGCTCAAATTATAATTCCAGCAGCATGTTTTAGACTTTGAAAAGAACATAAGAAATTTCTAGTTTTCAAAATCCATTTTTCTGTGCAACTGAGTTTTATGTGAACTTCAATTGGAAGTGATTAACTCTGCTCTCAGTTTGTTGTCTATCTGTATTGCCTGTCACACACACACACACACACATGTGTTCATGCATGCATATGTGTATACATACATTCATACATACATGCATGCATGCATGCATACTGTTTGAAAAGCTCTATGGAGTATCCATTCAGATGCATGTTGAAATCTTCATTCACTTAATCTTTTCATTACCAAAGGGGAGAGAGTCAGAAAGTGAGCAATAAAGTAAAATAAGGGGTGGGGGGGAAGACAGAAATTACCAAAGATCTCAGGAAAAAGAAAACTCAAAGACCTGGAACATAAGTAAATGAAATCAAGAGAGATAACATTAACAACAGAAGGAAATATGGCCTCCAGGTCTAGTAAATGAATAGAAAAAAACAACAACTTGAATTTGCAATGAAAAGTCTCACCAGAGAAACAAAATAACAATAGGTTGGAAATGCAAATATATAGAAGTGAAAGACAATCTAGAAGAAGAGGAATAAAAAACAAAAACAGCAAAAGAAAATATACTTGTTATGAAAGCAAAACATAGTTTGTATGTCAAACATACTGATCTCAAAGATCCTATGAGGATCATAGGTCTCCCTGGGGAACATCAAAAGACAAAAAACCTGAACACCATAAAATAAAAGAGGTAAGAATGAAGAGGCAGAGAGAGGATTATGGACAGAACCTTGTGACATTCTGCCTACAGGTGAATATTTCTTTGTGAATGCTTCTCCTATTACAATATGAAAGGGTATGAGGGGGAAGGAACAGAGCAGAAGGATAGAGAGTGACATGCTAGGGTCAAATCAAGGGCTAGCAATGAGGGGAAGGTGGCCTTTGTGGCATCAGAAAGATAAAAACCTACAGGGCAGTGGGCCAAGAGGAAGGGGAAAAGATTGAAAAGGGGAGGAAAGGAAGGAAGCCTTACTTTGTAAGTGAGAGGGAGTTCTAATGAATGCTCCTCTAGGTGAGTTGAGACAAAGAACTTACACTGGATGTGGCCTGGGAAATTTGGTGCCTGAGAAATCTACTTGTCCTGGGAAGAGGGGCAGAGTTGAAACCTCTGGGGGCAACTAGAACCTGGAGGAGTGGAAGAGTATGGACACAGGGAGGA